AGGTGATGGTGTACATGGGGTCTGTGACTCGAGCTGTGTGCTGGGATTTGCTGCTCTGGAGCTGATGATCATGACCGAAGCAGCTGATTGATTTTTGGATGGGTAAATGGCAGGTTGTGAGGATTTCAGTTCTCCCTGTGACATTTATTAAAGTCTCCTGGATCCCTGGCTGCWTGGAGAGCTGACACTTGCATGGCTTTGGTGGCACAGAGAGTTCCTGTGAAATTCCTGAGCTCCATCCCCTGAAGTGGGCAAGGCACAGCCTCAGCACCGGGGTTTTTGTGCAGATGTCAATGTGAGGTCACTTTGCCATGACACTTGGTCATTTCATTGTGTCTTGTTCTTGTAAACCTTAAATCCACTGCACAACAGATGGTGTTGCCAGGAAAGACGATGGGATATTTCTATAGTTAATGATTTCAATGTAGTGTTTCAGTGAGTGCTTTTGGAACGCTGCTTGGGGAGAGAAGGTTGAGGCCAGCTCAGCTATGGGAAAACAGGGACCCCTTGTGCCAAGGKGCAGTGGGGTTCTTCCTCCCTCCAGGCTGCTCCAGGGAATGGAGCTGGTTCCCTGTTTGTTGCATTTTCCACAGGAGCAGGGAGCTTGTGTTTTTTATGTGAAGATTTAAGAGTCATTCACGTGGTGTAAGTGATAGTGTAGGCAGTGTCCCAGCTGTCTGTCCAGGTGAAAGGTGCTGACTGTTCTGTGCAGTCAGGTAGAATGCAGCCTGAGCAGTGGTGCTGTGATGGGAACCTGCTGTTCCTCTTGACAACACTGTTAGACWAAATAAAACATTTCTTAATATCAAAGTACTAAACAGAGGTTAAAAGTAATGGTTAATGATGGATATGRTTCTGGAGATGATGTGCATATAAAAGCATACTTTTTGTCTGTACTCTTGTGTTTAAATATTAARTTATTTTAAATTCAGCCGTTATTTAGTAAGGGTGTATACACGACTGAGAGGCTGATMGCTTGCAGCGGCTCCTTTCTTGCTTGGTGCTGCCACTGCGTGGTGAATGATAGTTAGAGATGAAATTCAGAGCAGRTCTGTGGTCTGTCCTCATGGTGGCTGTCCCAAGGGCTGTGGTTGTGTGGGGTTTGTCACCAGAAGGTGTCAGAGCAGTTCTGTGTTACCACAGTGCAGCTGCTGTGTGCCAGGTGACAGCAGCACTGCGACTGACTCATTTAGGAATGTCATAGAACATTTATTCTGTTTATTTCCAATGTATTGTATCAATGGGTGGGATTGCTTTAATTGTGGAAGAGCAGTGTGAATAGAAGTGATGAGGTGGGACCGAGGTGTTTCTATCTGTGCAAGCCATCCTTTTGGAGAATGTGTAACTGGAGAGTCCTTGGTTCGTGCTGCCCTTTGGCAATACAGAAGAGAATGGGAGTCACAAGCCATTGAATTTGGCAGAAGAATTCTGTCAGTTTGTTGAGAAGCTTCTTCTTATTTGATTGATGGATTTTGGAGGCAGTGGTTCCCAGTGGCAGCCTGCTTGGTGCTTCTGTGGGTGGCTACAAGGGCTGAACAGGCTCTTGTATTTRTTTGGCATCTGCAGGAGAGATTTGGGGTTCAAAGTGAGGAGTTGTGTACAATGCAAGGGTCTGGAAACTGCTGTTCTGTGTGTTTCTGAAACAGAAAAGAGTGGGTTGGTTCTGAAAAGCAGCTGTTCTTGGTTAATCTCATTGTCCCCCAAATAAATGCTGCCTACATTACCTAACCATTAAAAGTGTCACCTCCTCTCTATTGTTATTGTCCMATTTTTATTCCTGACTTCTTCCTGTGCTGCAGGATGATACAATAAGTTAATGAGACTTTAATTACAGGGTTGGGAAGATAAAATATCAAGWCAATATTGATGTTCTTAGAAATTGCTCCCTTTACAGAAGACAGATGATATTGAGTGTGGGGTAATCATGCCACGGAGAACTTGAGGTTGGTGGTATCTGATATTTTGGAATGTATGCATCAGGGGGGAAGGTTGTCCCTGCTCTTCCTCACYGCAGGGATCTCTGCTTGGATCAGTCACTCTGTGGCCCCTGGAAGCATTACCTGGGAGTCTGTGCTTCRACTGAGACTCACAGGAACTGCAAGRAGAAGGGAAAAACGGGAGCATGGAAGGGTGGCTGTATCTCCTTCATTTCAGTAAATCAGGTGACCATTGCCAAGCACACTTGGGCACTTCTGCCATCTGTACTGAGAGATGGAAATCAGGGCTGATATTGGAAATGCATCCTATATTTTTATATGCATGGAAATGCATGCTATATTTTTAAGTTCGTGGGTCTGTGTTGTATATGTGAAAATGCCTTCTTCATACTTTTATTCTTCCTTTTTTTCTTTTTCCCCCTTTAAATTTTTTTCCTTTTATTTCCCCTATTTTTTTCTTTATTATTTTATTTTTTTTTCTATTTTTCCTTTTTCCTTTCCCCTCCCCTCCCTGCCCGGCGTTGCTGCAGCAGCAGTGTTCCACAGTTCCCATGCCAACCCCACTCATCTGCAGTGTTGTGGCCAGCTCTGGGCTCCTCCGTACAAGGAACTGCTGAAGTGGGTCCAGCAGTGTCACGAAGATGATGAGGTTCCTGRAGCCTGAATTTCTAACGGCGATAAACTGTCGGGGCTGAGCGTGGTTAGTGCAGAAAAGAGGCAGCTGAGAGGGGACCTTCTTSCTAATCCACACAAAGATTTCCAAGGGTGTCAGAGAATGGTGCCAGCGACAGGATCAGGAGCAATAACCATGAACTAAAACACAACAAGTTCCACTGCAATATGAGGAACGTCTTTCCATGGAGGGTGCCAGAGCACTGAAAGAGCTGCCTGGGGAGGCTGTGGAGTTTCGGTCTCTGGAGACATTCCCGAGCCACCTGTATGCCCTGCTGTGTCCCCTGTCCGGGTGACCCTGCCYGGCAGGGCTGGCACTTGGACTGTCCACAGGAGCCTTCCAAGGGCAGCACTTGTGACATTCCGCGATTCTGTGACGCCGCGGGACAGTGGGGGCGGCGGGCGGAGCGCGGCTCCCGCCCCTCTCTCCCTCTCTCCCTCCCTCCGGCTCTCCTTTCTCCCTCCGTCCTTCCCTCCCTCCCCTCGCTGTCTCCGGGACACGCCGGGGACGCGCCGGTGCCGCTCCGGCCATTGCTGAGCCCTCCCTGCCACCATGAGCGTCCCGCAGCCCGGGTGAGTCTGGGGCTCGGGGGCGGGCACTGCCGGCATTTGGGGTCCAAGGG